CTCGTTGTGACCATTTCGAATGCGGATTGTCTGGTACTGTGGTAGTACAGCAAATAATGTGGGTTTTTTCCTCTCGAATCGCAGCAGTGAATTGTGCAGCTTTATCCTCGATAATATTTTTTTACACTATATTTGAGATGGACCCAATGTATCTATGGAGTGGATACGGAGAGGAGGCAGAGACAGAAGAGATGGCAGTGGGAGAGAATCGAAGCGTTTGGAGGCATCTACAAAACTAGAATGAGGAAAATGGGGAAAATTGGAGAAGCATTTGCCCAGCAGCAGGAAGTTACAAGCTGATGACTCCATACAGTAAAATATTACTGGAAACATATCGTAAAAAAACCCAGCGCAACTTGTATAATAGCTCATACATTGAAAACTTAATCCACGCATTTCAATACTAAAAGAACCCTTAACTAAATGTGGTACATCTAAAAGTAATCTACATCTCCCATGATTAAACATGGGCACACGCATCAAAATGTAACGGCAGAAAAAACTATGAACGTGCAGAACTCGGTGCGTTTATAGACCACTTCTCACAAAACGAACAAGAAAGTCCATTAAGGCAGCCTCCACTTTGTTATAAGATCGGACTGTGCCAAAACTTGCGTAGTCCTCACTCGCATACACGGTGGGCACAGACTTGGAGCACACGTGCTCCAGTTTAACACATGGCAGGCGCTCGCGATCAATATCATCCATAACACAGGTGTGTTTGCGTTAGGTCGCGTAAAGAAAAATGCGTCGTTAAACCCGCCACCACCCGACACAGCCAATTAGTAAGGTTTGTCACGTAAACAGAACATGCCAAATCGTTACTAGTACAGCACGCCGGTGTGTTGGAGAGCAAATCCATAACATTTAAAATATTGTGTAAATATAATTCTTAGTCGAGGCCCCTCCTCCACCCACGGTGGTGTGAGTAAAGCAATTGCAGGGCTGCACCTTTGCCACTGTGCCCCAGTAATATCGATATGGGCATTGGTGTTGTTTGCAAAGTGTCAATGGACGAACGGTTGGACAAGATTTGTTCAGGCATAGCACGCAGTCAAACAGGCTCACTAAAATTAGATTTGCATAAAATCCGTTGATTAGGACATTCAACAAAATAACATTCTGTACTGTGTATCCCACTGACATGTGCACATCTGATCAATCAAGGGAGATGCTCAAACTCGAGTTGCTGCAATGTGGTGATACTCGATCTCATACACGGTCCACGATCATCGTGTTGTCCGCTTACAAAGTAATGTGTCGTGATAATGGTTCCTCATTTTACATTTTAAAGTATATATTTTATTTATGTAAAACGCAATCTAATGTTCTAGATAAATAGCTGATACTTATTAAGTGATTTTCAAAACGTTTCCGTGAGTAATTAACAGAATGGTGGTTGTGTTAATTATTTTTCCAGTCTGCTTCATTATTTTTCACCCCTCCGTCCGCACGTGATCATGATCATTTAGAAATTTAAAATGAGCAATTTTGAGAATACCGATGGCAGGCTTGTGTTGAGTAGACTGCAGTGAAAGAACTCGCAAGTCATCTTTATGCATTCAAGTGCGCTCAGCACAAACAAATCAATGAACCGGTGCAATGTCGTGATCGTCATATCGTGGCATGAAACAGTCGCAGCAACCCTCGGGGAAATAAATAAATATGATTTTCTCTGCTGCAACTTGTCTGCTAGAACCTGTCCCAAGAAACCGGATCTCACGGGACACAATGAAAGTCACACAGTTGATTGATTCATCAACGCATGTTGATAATCGACGTTTAACGTTGATAATCGAAGTGTAACGGAATGTGATAGTAGCTGATTGGTTGTAAACCGTTCACAAGCATGACCACGTGGTGTTCTCCTGAAGAACACAGACCTCAGCACATTTTATTCAGACACCCTTAAGTCTTTGTTGATTTGTTTTGCTCTTAACGTTGAATACAAACACTCATTCACCGATTAGCCAACATTTAGTAATGCACATCCGTATTAGTAAAACATGATTTGGGGGTAAAAGTTTTTTTTATATTTCATTAACGAGCATTTGTAATTCGAGATGAAACTGCAGCACCCAGAGAAAACCTGAGCACATGAGAGTGGTACGAGGGAATGCCGCCGTATGCACCACACAGATAGATTCACGAATCCATTGCTCTACAGGACTGCCATCTTTCAGTTAAATCACAGCCCAAGCCTTCATCTGGTGTTCTCCAGCTTCGCTTCTGAGATTTGAAAAGATCTGGCACATTCAAGGCGATTTGGTCATATATCAATAGGTTCATAGTATCCCTCTAATATTTAATGGAATGAAATGTCTACAATAACTAGAACTAATGACAAATGTTCTTCTTAGTTTCAAATCATATTTTTTTATAAATTAGTGACACAAACACGTGGTTCTGAAACATGGTTACAATTGTCACGTTTACAGGTGACGTACGGACTTGGTGAGCACACTTGCTGATATTTTACCGAGTTATTTCACCGTACACCCAAGTGCTTTTACCCATCACATTTAAAACGAAACCATGCTTCCTAAAGACGAAACCTGCTTTCTGACAAACTTATTTTAAACGAATTGCTGGGACATTTTTACATCATAATTTACTGCGAGACAAAAGGTCAAAATAACAACACACACAACAATACGTAACGACTTTTCACACAGATGTGCGTGGAGCAGCCCTTCGTAAATCCTCCGCTGGGCGAGGGTCTCGCCACACTGTGCAGGCTGCTGCTGTGCGGATTAGTGAGGAGGAAAGGCCTTTCCCGCCAGCAGTGGCATAAGAAAGAATGTGCAGGGCTGCAACGTGACCGTGATATTCATTGTAAGTGGGGTGACTGGTGGCAATGTCTGAACGGCGTCTTTGAAGGTTGGAGACTGCACCATGATTGATTGGTGTAAAGGGTATTGTTGTATCAGCCGTGGAAATAATACAGCAACCCCAAATACTTTCCATGCGCTTTTAAACACATGTAAAATAATGTTCTCGCATTATTGTTAATGTGGTATCATATTTCCATGTAAACTAGCTATTACAGAAACAAAATCAAACAAATGAACAAAACATTGGTGTTTACTAGCACTGAAGAATGCAGTATTCCCTTTCAAATAATAACCTGATCAAGGCGACATGACCCATTGAATGCACATGCATAACAGCCAAACAACAACAACAATTGTAAAAACACCAAGTACTCATTCTTGGGGCAAGTAAAAAATATAAATATTAAATTAAATATCTTTAATAAAATAAATGTATTGTGAAAGTAAATGATATTAAAACAAAAGCACATCGACTAGAAACGAGATTTTTGCAAGCCAAACCAAATATAATTACCAACAAAACATTTGTGTTGGTTTATATGTAAGAGGTATATCCATATAGGGTGTGTCCAAAATGGTATCATCCAATATTAAACAGAGTAGTTTCATGGAGGTTAATGACACCACACAAACACACTGGGAAGTATGAACATTCTATCGTCGGAGTCTCATCGCTCTAAACCTCCACCTGGCTGCTACAGCATTGGCTGTTAAGGATCGCTTGACCTGTTCAGTTTAGAATAAGGAATATTTTGCCACTCTTTCAACCACGCAATTGAAACTGCTCTTTGTACTTCTTTAACAGCTAATACCTGCATAGAAACCAATGACACAATGTCGTGTAAACTAACGGGCTATCTGCCCACGGATTATGATGACGTTCATGGACACCCTGTGCTGTATGTTATATGAATAAATAATAATTTAAGGGTAATTTTATATTTGCTTGGAGCAAATGGCAAACTGCAGGCAGAGTATTCCAACGGGCTTATATAATCGCCCAACATTGGAATACATTACTCCGATGAACTGAACACATGCGTCAATAACACTGCCTTAAAATCTACATATAATAGGTGATGCATTTGGTATGGCCCTTCTTAATAGCGCACAATGTGCTATGAATGTGCTCGCTAGGGCCCATCGCCTGAAATGTCGCCTCTTGTGTATTTTTTCCCTGTTTCCGCAGTGTCATCGACGGGGTGTGAGCTGCTTTGCTATTTGTGTTTGTGCGCCGTTGCCGACGCAGCAGCAGCGTCGCCAAATGATTTACTCACTCAGAATTTTGCCGGATTATGAAAAATCACTTGCACTAATTGCTCCACGTATTTAAGCCGTAAAAATCCATGATTATTTTTGGATAAACAGTGCTTTTGCTTTAATATCGATTGCAAATATTATAAATAAACACAAAAATGTCGTACGTGCAGATTTTATACGAGTATCATTTTACGGTTTATAAATTATCTTTGTTCACGTTTCCTTGATTCTGAATCATTTGGTTTTAAATTCTTGTGCTAAAATATTCCAGAAAATGTTTGGATCCTGCCAGCGCAGGTGACATGCCATGCTTTAGTAAAGCTGATGACAAATAAGTGCTTAATAATATAATACCAAAATAAATTAATGGGGGAAATGCAGCACATATCAAAGATCTGGGATTGTCGGTCTGGAGCGAGCGTCGCGCTAGAACCGGCCTTGTCGACCAGATTAAGGTCAAGTCGCTTGTGACCCAAAACAACCCGTTAGTCACATTAGTCACAGTGAAGCCCCAGCGAGCCAGACTTCGCACTTAGCCGCGCCAGCTCGCCACGGGGACATCCATTGAGTAGCTACGCAAAAATCTGACAAAATTTGACCCCCCCCCTCCCTGTAGGCAAGTGGACTTTTTACACCCCCCCCCCCCCACCTGCGTACGTACACCTGACGCACCCCCCCGAGTCCTATAGAACGGCCGATATTTAATCGACGCAGAAACGATAAATAATATTAACGTGTTAAAGCAAACAGATAGACCACCGCTGGACTATCTAACTCATTTGAGGGCCAAAGTAGACAAATTAGTATCGAGTCTTCACCCCCCCCCCCCCCGTTTCCTATGCGTACATTGTCAGCAGACCCCCCATACACAAGCGGAACGCATTTGGCTTAACCCCCCCTCCCCCCTCCATGCGTACGTACTCAATGGATGGCTCCTACCCACACGTGCAGCGCGTCCACACACCCAGTGGGCGGCGGTATCTCCGTGTAGCCGTCTCAGTAGCCCTGCCTCTCTCGCTTCGTGCCACTCCTCAACTCCCCGTTAGTATTTCATTCTGTTAAGTCCACTCCGTTTTTGTGTTCATTAGATCTCTTCTCAGAGAGCATCAACACAGCTCAACAATGAGCAGAGTGCTGCACTCACACTGTAAACACAGTTCTTGGATTCGTTTTTGTTCACGAAATTTGTATCTAGCATTGAAAACACAGGTAAATGTATTGATTTAGACTACATTTCACACGTGTTTCTCACACTTTACAGTGTTGTTATTTTCATGATGTACAGGGTTGTTTACGATTTTATATTCATCGGCAATAATTTTCATTGTTGCAGCAACTAGTTGGACTTTTCAGCGTAAACAGACTTCTCCTCCTTAAGTCCAGCTTGCCGAGATTTTGAAGCATCACAGCGATGCCCTCCACGACTCCCGACTCGGATGTGGCTCAACCACCTCAATGTAAAATGAGACTTGTTACTCGACATCACCGTCATCATCCATACAAGCCGGGATGTCGGTTGGTGTGCATGTCAACTTCATGTTCGCATAATTGATTTCATCTATCTGGTCAATCTTTGTAAATCTAGGCAGGCCCGTGCTTCCTACATATGTCAACTAAACGCTTATGCCCTCCTCACTGTGTCAAGCAACAATCCAGGATAAAAAGTGCACATTTATGAATTGAGGAATGTATACTAAAAATGAAAGAAAAATCTGCAGCTTTAAACAATATGAACATGCCTAAGTGGCAAGTGTACAGTAGAATTAACGTTTTTGTTATTCCTTCAACTAAGACAACTCCAAAGTTTAAAGGAATACAAAAAAAGCTTCTGTACTTAAAAAAATAATACAGTGGATTTAACTTAACGGAGCGCAAGACGTGGAATTACGTCCTTTGCACTACTAAGCAGGAGGTACAACCCTAGGAACAGCGTCTGAATGTCTGTGGACTAACATTGGAGGCTTTTTTTTCCAGGTCAAGTGTGACCCAGGAATGGCTTCGCACAAACCTAAAGGGGATGCATGGTGCTCGGACGTGCGACCTACAAACCTGCAAGTCACAAATAAATAAATAAACTTCGATCCAAAAATTGTGCTCATTCAGCTCAACTGATTGCTTTAAAGTCAAACATCTCCAACCGTATTGAGTAAATCTGAAAAGCACCTTGGGGTGTTTTTTCTCATAATACTTGATATTAAAGCTTTCCTTTGAAGTGTAAAACCACATGATGCTTTCACGTATATCAACCCACAAGCGCAACTTTATCGCCGAATAAAAATGCAGGCTTGCCACGAAACGTTCACACGCCGGTCTTCCGCTGGTCTGCGCTCAGATAGAGGAACCTTCGTTGCAGGAGACGGGCAAGTAGGTGTTTGGCGAGAGCCCGTTGGAATGCTTTTCATCCGGAGTCCCAGTTATCGTCTGCCAGTAATACCACAAAGGAAACGGGTCACCGCATAATACAGGTCAAGTATATGGCAAAGATAGATAAGTGCTGTGCCGTGGCGTGCCACGGTTAAAGGATATTTTCAAACGTCTTGCAGAGGCCTGGAGCACACATCTATGAGTGTGCAGATCCCGATGGAGAGTTCTTCTTCGCATCATCCGATGCCGATAGCATAATGCTAATTTAATTGGGGAGGGGAGGGGAATTAACACAAATAAAATAACGTTTAACTGCAACAAGTGAGAATGCAAGTGTTTTACCTCCGCCTTCACAAAACCCAGATTCGCACTTTGCCTCCGTAGATCCGACTTGATAAGTGCTTCAGAAACAAATCGTAGAGAACAGGGAACGGTACAAGTCAGAGGCGTTTCCGTGTTCAAAACATCAAGCATTCTCCATTGGCAGGCAGTGGCACAAAACTCACCACTCGCACAATGGGGCTCCGTCTACCCGTAGCATGAACGCTGTGGAGCTCCCACAAAGTGGTATACAATTTCTAGTCTCATCTAAACATTTTATTCAATTAGCAATCAACACAAAGGGGGGGGGGGGAGATGGGAGGGGAATGTATGTACGCAGCGTACGTAGCCAGTCCCGTGCTAATCGGAGGTGCAGGGAAAGGACAACAAACTAAGGACAAAAAGCAGTTCTAAACAAATGAGTCTTCAATCTAGTTGATTTAAAAGTGCTTAGCTCCAGTGGCTTCCTAATATTGGAAGGAAGAGCATTCCAGACGGCCGCAGAAGCGCATCTGAAAGCGCCGCGTGATGCGGTGATCACCTCAAACCATGCTCGACGTGCCAGCAACGCCAGCAAATACAATTACTGAAGGCAACGTCGACTTGAGCGGGGTTGAACGACAGCCGTGGGAGAAGGCTTAAGATTCTATGACCTGGAAAATGGTCTTCACGCAGCGTCGATCCCACGTGCATGCACCGGTGCGGCCCCTTTAACTTTATCGTTACTCCCCCGAGGGATTATGGGTTTGAGTCGAATGCGAGCCAAGCACGCTAACTACAGCGCTGCCTGGCGCTTTAACGGCATTCTGACGAGGCTTTCTGGACAAATGTTTTAAAATTTCTGACAGGTACAAGATCATCATTTGTTTGTATTCACTGTGTGGGAGAGGGTGATGAGTGAGGGCAGACTGGTAACCACAAGCACATTTGGTTTTCATCACACAAATTATCAACGGATAAGTTTGTAGCTTTACGTATACAGTATATACAAAACACAATGGTCACAGGTGAAATATTTACCGTGGGCATATTTTTATGAAAAGTACTTGACGTACAGTAGATACAAATGAGCTTGGTTCAACAGAGCCATGGTTCCCATCAATTCTAAAGGCTGCACGATGTCAAATAGCAGTTGTAGGATGAGATTATTTCATTCAGCGTTTTATATTGAATGTAAAAAAAAGGTACAAAACAGCAACTAGTTGTTATTATGTTGCTCTAAGTCTGAATAAATCCCCTCAAGCCATCGTCACGTCGAACTAGCCTGCAATGTAACGATACACCTAGGATCCGAACGTGAACAGATTTCATCGCTCCATTTCTTGGCTGCCACTTCGACATTATTCTAGACCAACGACTCTGATCCCTTCTAAACCATGACATACACTGCACAAGCAAGCTTAATTTTCAAAACCGTCTCAATGATGTCATTATCATGCGCATGCTCTCAAATGCACGCGTTCCTTTTCCTGTCTCTCAATGTCGTCGCAAGCTCACATCTCTCCAGGATTCGTTGCACACTTTGGGGGTGCCACGGTGGTGAGATGTTAACTACCTCGCCTGGTATACAGCAGGTCGTGGGCTCAATCACAACCCTGACGTTTGTATATTTGGAGTTTGTATGTTGCTCTCCCTGTGATCGTGTGGATATTTCTTTGGGTCATCTGGTCTTTCCCTCCACATTCAGAATCGACACATTTTTAGAGTATTTGGCTGCTATGAATTTCCACATCAGCAAATTCGTTGAGCTATGATTTATGGGCAGATCACTTCTAAAAACGAGCGATATAGCTGAGTGGGAGTCTGACCTGGTGAAATAAAAAATTGTTTAATAGTTTCTATTTTTCACAAATTATTATGCTTATGAACCATATATTTGCAGGTAGAAGTGGTAAAGCTCTACAATGTCTGTATGTTGAACTGCACCGTACGTAGCCAACCGTGCTACTCGGGAGGTGCGGGGATGGATCTCACCAGTGAGGACGCACCCCAGCAGCAGGAAGGCACACAGAAAGATATTCCCTGCCAGCGGGCTGTACAAGGTCGTCAGCTTCCCTTGCACCAGCGTGAAGATCAGGCCAAAGATCTGCACGATGCATTACGATGACAATCAGACTCATCTCTCTTCAAGCGAGTGCAGTTCGTTCACAAATATCCGTCAGTGGATTATCGGGAATGCCGATTCACCGAGCTTGTGATAAATAAAATATCTTTACGAGCGTTGGTTTAAATCGTTTGGCTGCTCCTCACTCAAGGTTATAAAAATAATACTCTACCCCTTCTGGCATATATACAGGAGGTGTTATGATGTTCAAACACCAAATAGACACCGATTGCAAGGCATCACGTCTGCATTAACCACACATGTCACAATACAAGAAAATACGCATTTCTGTTTAATGCAGACTTGATGCCTTGTACAAAGGTGTCTATTTGGTGTTTGAACATCTTAACACCTGGATTCATGACAGAAAAGGTCAAGTATTTTTTTTTATCTTGATACAGTACTAGCAAAAAGGGTCCCGTAGAAATGCTTCTCACTCGTTGAGGGTCTGCAACTCAGTGATCATGTGACATCCTTACGGCATTCCAAACAAATAAATATATATTATCACCTAATTTACATGAAGCTTGCAATAGTCGTGATGTTTAGCCCAGCAATCTATTACCCTAGATCACTACGAGTCACTGTACATGTGTATGTAGCTTCTCAATGACATTTACTTCCAATTCTGGAAGGGATATGAAAAAAACTCGATGCCAAATGCCTTCATAGGATTTATTTCCTCCTTTCATGGTCATAGGTCATTATATTACTTTTTGAAATCGAATTCATCAGTTATCAAGCCGTCTAGCGTAGGTCCTTGCACCAGCAGGTGCGCCACGGTGGCTAGATGTTAACTACCTCGCCTGGTATTGAGGAAGTCGTGGGTTCGATCCCGACCCTGGCGCCTGCTGTATATTTGGAGTTTGCTTGTCTCTCTCCCCGTGGTCGCTTGGATTTTTCTCCGCATCCTCTGGTTTTTCCCTCCAAATTTATAAATACGCATTTAGAGTACATGTATTTAGCTGCTATAAAGTTCCACATGAGAAGCCACCTTCGTTGGGCTATCATTTGTGGCCAGGTCACTTCTGAAAAAGAGCTAAATAGCTCAGTGGGCCTTACCCAGTGAAATATAAATCGTTTAGTTGCTTAGATAAATTCCAGGGCTGCACTTTTATCTTGACATAGTAATAGCAATCCTCCCCCCTCGTGTGGATACTTTGCTCCCTTGGACGTAACGCAGCGGCTCGTGGGACTCGGCACGGACGTGAAATGAGAGACGTCGAAGAAAGAGCTGGAGCATTGTTCACCGCTGCATTTTCATGTTGTGATATGGACAGTGTGTCCAGCAGTGGAAAGAGCATGGCCAATGATGATGATGATAATGATGCACAGCTGCTCGAGGGATCCATGTGCGCACCTGTGCAGAGGCGTTGAGAAGCCCGGAGGAGGTGCCCTCGGACTCGGGATACGTGATCTCAGCGGCAAACTCGAAACCAAGAGGCAGGTAGCCTGTCATGAAAAACCTGTACGAGAAACACATGCGGTGTGTAAAAATACGACAAGGTAAATATGCAGCCGTGAAATTGCTTACCCACACCGCTGTTGGTGGAAAGGCCTCCACTAGCCGTGAGTGGATATAAACAGCCACTCCAGAGGGTATTTTTTTTGGCCTACTCTTCCACGCTCGCCAGACGCCTTAAAATAATTGGGAGAACCCACACTTTTTTTTTTCACCACGCGCGACCTACCGATCGGCTAACTGCGATGCATCCATTTACACTGCTGGGAGGGCGGTGGTGGGGGGAGGGGGAATGTGAGAAACTTGCCCCATTGCTGCAAGTGCCGTGCCGGGAGATGCTGCCGGAGTGCTAACGGTGAGCAGACTGGACTGGCGAGCCAGAGGTCATCGGTTGGTCAAATCTTTTAACAATCTAATTTAGCATTGGCGTTTTAAGTAACTGTATATGTTGTAAACAATTTGTTATATAAAAACCAATGCACTCATGATTGCAATTAGGCATGTAACGATTCACTCCACTCAATTCGATGAGTCGTCATTATTCGGGCTCTTTATTTCATCCAAGAATCGATCCTTTGTTTTAACACTCGCTGGAGCGCCTCGAGTAGCCGCAGTGGCTACAGGCACCAACTACAACTCGCACTCAGTTGAATATAACCGATTCCCTGCAAGCACAATTTGATGCATGTATCACGAGTGGAACGACCGGTTTTAATAACTGAAACAATGTTGTTACATGCCTGATTGTCATCAGTAATTATATTGCTGCTGTCCTGCTGAAAATGTGCTTAGCAAACATTGCCAATGAACACTCGCTTATTTGTTTTAGTTTCAGTGAATTTAGTGGACATGTTAATTATGAACAATCTATAGCGGGGAGCAGGATTTATGAACATGTGTGTGTGCATGTTCAACTTCTTTCTCGCCGTACGTAGCCAACCGCGCTCATCGGAGGTGCGGGGAAGGGCAATAAACTAAACGCAAAAAGCAGCTCTAAAGAAATGCATTTTCAAATTTTCAATCTTGATTTTACAAAAGCACTTCATAACCCAGGTCACCCTTGCAAATAACAAATGTCTTATGGGTCTCAAATAGTTTCTTATTTAATCTTCTGGTTAAGTAAAGGATACAACAACTCATTAGTAATATTATTGTAAGACATCTTCTTGGTTCTTTCGGTAAAGTCACGTAGAAGGGAAGTAATACAATAATAAAAATAAAACATAATAAATTTTTATTATTATTTTATTACTTCACTTCTACGTGACTTTACCGAAAGAACCAAGAAGATGAATCCCTGCAGTCACGAAAGCTTTAAATCAAAATTGTAAGACATGTTTACCCAGTAAAACCTCACTGAGCCTCAAGACTCTTTTTGGAGTCTTTGAGGGTCCTGTCAAGGTTTTGCCAGAGCGGGCGACATTGCTGTGTGGGAGCCAAAATTCGTCAATTTGCAGGAATGTTTCGGCAGTGGGACGTTGTGGACAATACCAGTTACACTGGATGGATTGTAGCTACGGGAGGGAACTGTGGAAGCCGGAGGAAACCAATGCAGGACAGGGAGAGAACATAGACTCCACACAGAAAGGCAACCGAGTGGGGAATCGAACACAGGTCTTTGGTGCGAGGTGCAACCGTCACCAATGCACCACCCTGCCGCTTAGCATGTAAGACTTGGACTGATCGCTACGAGGATACAAGGACACCCCACCTACCCGAGCAGGCCAGCGGTCAGAAAGACCAACCACATGTAGCCCAGGTCCAGTGTGAAGGTGAACACCACCATGAAGACGAAGGACAAGATGTAGACTGTCAGCGTTGTCTGCCTGCAAGTAAGACAAACACAATGATCATTCATTGAAGAAGTGGTTCGCGCAGCAGGAATGAAAACATGTCGCATGTTTTAAGCTGTGACGCTTGCATGCCAACCGTATACAATGCGGTGTTTAATATACGGGTAAGGTAAAAACAAAATGTACAGGGGACTGCAATAGGTTCCTTACATCAGTACCGGCATAATGCCCTCCACTGAAGGCAGCTCTACCGAGCAGCTCAAGAGGATAAATGCGGCCCACTCTTACACGCTGTAAAGCATTGTGGGTAATACATCAAATAAACTGTTGCCCTATCTCCAGTTAAATACAAAATGGACTTCTGCTTCGATCAGCATAACGACCTGCCAGACTTACGTTGACAGTACAATATTTAATCCAGCACGTAAACTCTGGACCGGTTTCATGCATCCGGGGCTCATCGGCAGTTCGGCTTGTAAAATAACTGCTGGTTCACTCTTCCAAGCTTGCCAGACGTTTCGGAAGAGGCACGAAATATATAATCGAGAAATAAAATGTAAGCAAAATAAACCTTTTAGATTTAGTTACATGAGCTGAACTGAAGCTGTTGGTTGTACACTCATCATATAAAACCTTCAAGTACTTCTGACAGATGTAATGTAGTTTTGGTTCAAACACGTCATAGCCTTAGAAAAATGCATGCGTGGCTGACACACCTTGTCCTGTGGCCACTGTGTGAAAGGATAACCTATGATATACACCTCTGGAACTAACACGTTTATTCTTTATTTATCTCAGTCCAAATGACTTGCTAAAAACTACACGCCTTGCTCATACGAAATAGTGGGCAAATACGCAGCCCCTACAAGTGCTGACTCGCGCCACTGCTGGCAGAAGGCTTCCACTGGAGGGAGCTGAAGAGAGCCCTTCCTCCCACAGGGTATTTTTTTGCCTCCTCTTCGAAGCTGGCCAGATATCCTAGAAGAGGTAGGAAGAGTCCCTAGAATTTGCCCCACCAGATGCTACCTGCCAGTCAACTAACTGTGATGCATCCATTTATACTGCTGGGTGGTCAGAGGTCGTGGGATTTAAGAATCTTGCCAAATATTTCGACTGCCACACCAGGAGATTGAATCGGCAACCTCTTAATTGCAAGCCCAGTGTGCAAACTATCACAAAACCACAGCATCCAAATATGTGTGTAAAATTTCTTGAACATATGCAGGTGCAATACAAACAGCAAGCCCAATGCGGAAAAGGTGTGCGAGCCACATTGGCACTTACTTAAAGGTCTTGGTGCGGTCCAACCAAATGCCACAGATGATGGAACCCAGCATCCCCGCCAGCACGATGGTAAGACCGATCCAGCCAGCAGCCACCTCATTCCCCTGTGTGCAACAACAAGAATTCATTGTCGTCAGAGGGTAAGAAAGTTCAAGTTAAGAGCTCGTGAAAAAGCAAGTCAGTCTGTCATCGATGCCTCCTCCATCATGTCGATTTCATGACAGTGTGAACGTCATATATGTGCAATGCCTTGCAATACATTTTGCACATGGTACCTTGCCTATGACCAAATCACCCAAAATGCATCAGATTCCAGATGCTAAGCAGGTATCAGCCTGGATAGTGCCTGCATAGGTGACCACCATGTACTTTCAGGTTGTCGTAGGTGGTTGCTACTTAGTGGGCAGTAGCCAACAGATGTAGCAAATTTCACTGTTGTACTATACTTCTATGCTTCCCACCTTTTACCAACCCGCACTGATTGGCAGGGTCAAACAGCACCTGACACGGTGTGGAGAGGCCCTCATCAAGAAGTGGAATGACAAGCACTGTACATGTTACCCGACAATTTGGGAATGCTTTAAACCTGTAACACATGGATACATTCCCAGCGCAGTTATCTTAGGAGCTAGAAACACACTCTGGAGAACATTTTCTCTCTCACAAACAGTGGATTGTGGTCATATCTTCTTAATTGTGCTGTTTAAGGGAAATGATTTTGTGCAAGGACAAGCCGTGACATGCCTTCCCAAATGAAAGAACTCCGCGAGGCAAACATACTTAACGTGTTTGCCAAAGGAGTTATAACTACATTGCTCTTCACGAACCTGACAGATGATTTACACAAGGAAAGCATTACGGTAGATTGCATAAATGTACATAACCTCCTGATCGCAAACGGTTAATAGCAGCTTTAAAAAATGCAGTATCGATTCACAACCCTTTCACCTCCAACACTTTGGTCATATAGTGGTGGTATTTATGTCAAACACAAGTGCCGATTTACTAACCTTAAAAGTTAATCATTAACAATGCATATTAAATTAGCATTACAGGCAACAAACACAGGAATGTGTTTTAAGTTTATTGTATTGAATAACATGTATATAAGTATAACATGCAGCCTATATATTTCATGACTGCAATGATACATTTGACTTCAAGTTTTCTTCATTTATTAGAATGATTGCCGTTATATAATGTTTCACGATATATTAATGACAATTATTGCAAAACCAGTTCCCCGTAGCGTTCTATATATATTTAACATTTTTATCGCTTTGTTTGGTGCTTTCCTGTTTGTCCATTTCAAATAAAGATGACTTCATTCTTCTACCGATGTTCACTCAACACACGCCTGCCATACACGTCTGATAATTATTGCAAATTTGCACATTCTGCGAGTCAGTGCTCGTCATGGGACCTTTTTGCCAGCATCAAGGAATCAAGTTGCTGCATTAACCACACGTGCTCGTGGTGAACATGCAAACAAACATGCTCTGACAATATATGTACTGATTTTTAAACTGATTGGCCTACACCAGAGGCAATATAACGATATTTAGAAAAACGAAATTACCGTATGATATATCATACCGCTGCGTCATCCTGGAAACCAACGTAATTTGTGAAGAGCCAATGAGGGGGGTTAAGGTGCAAGAGGTCAATGTTTGTGACCCAAAATAATAAAAATGTAACCAAAGACACGCTGGATGTGAACTTTGTCTGACTTGTGAGACACACATGGCCACATCATCATCGCGGCATTATCGATGTTTCGTCATTGTGGGGGAACGGCCCCCCGTGGGGGTGGGCGGAGTATCTGTTGAGAATGCTGAGAGCCAGAAACCGACAGTCTCGAGGGGTGAAAGGAGTTAGTTAGCGTTAAGCCATGCAGCCTCTACAGACACTAGGATGCACTACAATGTAACTAAAATATCACTCCTTTTTGACAACAATTGTGACTAAATTGTGACAATGCGTTACATCTCTGGATAGAAGAGTCACGTATTCTGTTTATTACATATGGTAGCAGCGACTCCAGATGGCTGGATACCTCAATAGCTCGAACACAAGTTACTCACCATTGCGAAGTCTGCACACATTCAATAATACAAATGTCGATGCAGCCCATTAACATTACCAACGAGTAGTCTTCTGTTAAAAAAAAACATTTGAAATCTGACTGCAAATAACAAGCTGCAAGTTTAACACGTGGGCTTTCGCGACCAATATCATCCATAATGCAAGTTTTTTGGGTTAGATGACAATTCATTATTAGTACAGCACACCGGTGTGTTGGAGAGCTAAGCCACACCATTTACAATCTGAGTACGACGTTTCGCCAGTAGTTACAACTTGCTTCATCAGGCAACATCCAGATTTGTGGAGAAATCCTCCCGTTTCGTTCCTTAAACAGAGACGTAGATATGAGGACGACACTTGTGAGCAACTTCTTGCGCTATAAATGTTGTGGCTTGGCTCTCCAACACACCGGTGTGCTGTACTAGTGACGAATTGGCACGTTCTGTTTACGTGACAAACCTTACTAGTTGGCTGTGTCGGGTGGTGGCGGGTTTAACGACACATTTATATAATTACGCGATCTAACCCAAAAAAACCTGTATTATAAACAAGCTGCAAGTAGATTTTTTGTGGCATAATATAATGATCATGACTGTCCACCCTTGAGGTGAGTTGTGAGACAGTGTGATGTGTTTGTCAGACAGCTTTAATCTCTGTCACCTCACCGGGTAGTGACGAATCACCATCTGATTGAGGAGGGTAGACATGGAGTAGAAGGATCCCGTGTTTATGCCTGACAAGACATCAACATTTCCATCACTCATTTACATATCCTCTTCAATAACAAAGTGAACACAACTTAACGACTACTGTAGAAATTTGACTGAGCCCTCTACACCCTCTAAATCACGTGGCTGGAACTTAATACTGTACATATAGAAATCGCCATCTCATAGTGGTTCGTGCTCTTTGTTATGAACCCGGCCACGGCTAACGCCAGACTAGAATGAACATTCTCGAGCAACGCGAATCTGGACCCACACATTCAAACCGTCTTCAATAGCTGGAGGGGGCGATGGACGTCAGAGTCTTTCCTCATGCGCAAGGGGGGGGGGCGAGAGCCAGAGCAGACTATACGACAAACAGACGCAGATCCTATGGTCGGCGTTCCACATTGACCGCGTCGTCCCCACCCTGAGCATGTGTGCGCCCTCCTCCCTTAAACGAGGTCACGATACGGGGGTTTCCCAGACATGAGCACACAGGTGCACGCATCTGCGGATAAAAATCAATGTCGCATTGGCTAGCTATCGAGTGCACAGGGCTTTACAACCGCACCAAGGTCCACGGGCCGGAAGGTCTCAGGTGCTGGCCTCGGTAGAGGGACGAAGTTAGACCGGGGGTTGCCCAATTCATTCTTTGTACAGGTGTTCCTCGCTTTATGCGCTAGTAGTAGATGCGTCCCAAAAAAAGTGCACACAAAGCGAAACCGCATGAGACAGCTGCCTGCTTAGTAGCGTGCGCAGTGCACGCACAGTACACACACTGTACACACACACAGTACACACAGAGTACACACGCAGAACACAGTACACACACAATGTTGTCCCACGTCCGAGCGCATAGCCGCAAGCGAGAGAATTCAAACCGCATAATATAGCGAATTTTGGGTAGAAATAGGTTCGCCGCATTATACAGCGGGAAATCGCAAACCCAACCCCTATAAAGCGAGGGAAACCTGTGCGAGGGGCCCCATGCCTACGACACCACGCCGCTGGACTCCCCGTTAACATCCGTGTCGTACCGTAGGTGACGACGAGAAGGCAGAAGGGCCTGCTCCGTGCGAGGTGGACGATGGAGCGCCTGTACGAGTACTCGATGGGCGGCACGAGGAGGAGCGAAGCCTGCGCCCGACTTGGGGGCAAGGAAGGCCCCTCCTTGAACACTGCAGAAAGCGAACATTGTCAGTGCGCACTGGAAACGCTGAGATCAACTCGATGAATTTAACTCTGACAAAAGAACTGACCTTCAAATAACACTTAGTAGATTAATCATCATAATGGATATGACTTGTGGGGTGATATGGCTCTTTCATTATGGGGCTGGAACAAAAACCCAGAGTATTTTGACAAAAGTAGACAAATTATTTTAAAATGAGAAGAGTAGTTTTTCTTTCAGTAGATGCTCAATATAAACACACCCTTAGAAAAATATAGAAAAAAATCAAACGCTCCAAGTTAATGTTGAAAAATACTAAAGGAGGAAAAACTGTTAACTGGTGCAGTTCCCACTGTCAATTTAAATAAGCTGTTTACAATATAGGCTAAGCCATGTAAAGCTGCACATGCTGAGCGCGTGATGAGTCGGTCACTCCTGTCGCCGTTGTGCTGTGTGGCTCTCCGATGTGTTTTCGGGTCGTGCCGTGCGTTGTCCGATGTAATGGCTCAGCTCATGAAAAAGCTCCCAGCATGTGGAGCGAAACAATGGGACATCATGCCAAACCCGCAGGCATATAGAACCGTAAAAACACACAAACACATCGGAAAGCTGGCCACTCACTCTTCTGCTCTGAACAAGGGCCTATGCCTGTTTATCTTTTCTACTGTAAAAAATTTCTCCTATAAAGACATTCACTATTATTGCAGTTCGTGGTTTTTGACTTGTGCATACTGCCAACAGTCTTAATAATTATTTAAGTTTTCATCAATCCTTACATATCTTGTAGATTCGTATTATATGCTGGCTGTGCTAACTAATGTCTATTTTCTGTTCTGGATGAGACATTTGCAAAGATAATCACATTCCAAATTTTATTAATTTACCCCATCTCCTTTAACAGCCCAGCTTTGAAACAATGCACATGATATAATATATTTAATTCAAGTAATGTATAGCAGCCCTTTGTTAATCCACTGCTGGATGAAGGCCTATCCACTCTGTTCCCATAATGGGGGTTTGTTTGACGATACATCACATTGGTCCATACGGGTTGGTGAAGTCAGTGGGGAGGGGTCAGGACGGGCTCGGATATCACTCGCCACTGATAATAGCCATGGCCAGGAATCTAACCGAGGTCACCTGTTTGCAGAGGTGGGACAAAGTCATTGTCATGCAAGTCCAAGTCGAGTCTGAAGTCATCAAATTCATGACTCGAGTCTGACTCGAGTCCAAGTCACATGACTCGAGTCCACACCTCAGAGGTGGGACAAAGTCATTGTCATGCAAGTCCAAGTCGAGTCTGAAGTCATCAAATTCATGACTCGAGTCTGACTCGAGTCCAAGTCACATGACTCGAGTCCACACCTCTGCCTGTTTGATAGTGCAGTGTGCTGCCCCCTACGCTACAGCTCCCACACTATGTTCACAAAGCTTAAAAAGCCGCCTTTCAAATGTATATTCATTCTCTGAGGCAACTTAAAAGGTGTATTCTTTACCCGAATATAATGTAATGTTCAGGGAAACAGGAAGCCAGGCTACTGATGTGGAGTGGAAAGACCATGGGTAGTGTACATTGTTACCCTATGACAGTTGGCATGTCACCAAATATACACTCGGCCTTGCCGCATTGTTTGCTGTCCTTTTAATACAAAAAGCTGTTAGCCAGCCACTTTACCGTTAAAATATTTTGTCCATCATGCTCGATGATTAGGGGACTAAATTCGGGATTTTAAGGACAATTCTCGATAATTTTCCCAGAAATGTATTAATGCCAACCGAAGTTCCAGGTGACACCACTTGCAGTGAGAAAAGAGCAACGTGATGTGATGCAAGTAACCTTCACTTCCTGTGACATCAAACGTTGGGATAAATCTGAAACAAATAATTTGTTCGGATCGTCACGAATTTGGTCTCTCGGTCCGATTTAGGATTATTCACATGAATCCAACAGCCTGGAACACATCCCGATCGCTGATATATTTTGTAAGGGGAGTATGGCTGCTTATTTTGTGTGGTAATGGTTGCCTTGAGATTGGTAATAAAATACATTCAGAAAGAAACACTTTATCCAGATGATGTCAGCGATTCATAGAAATGAATACACACTACAGGGAGACCTGCATAAACAGCGAATAATATAATAGTGTAGTTTTTTGTGGTGTGCTGTATATCTCTGCAGTGTGTTTTCGGGTTGTATTGTGTATAATGTACAATGTGTTGCTCTGCATACTCCCAGCACGTAGATAATACTGAAAACGCATCGGAGAGCTAAAATAATTTCAGTCACTAATGGGACCTAACATTGCCCTAGCATAAAGCAAACATGTGGTCGTATTACTTTATAGGTTGTGACAGTGTCTAATAACATCATAGAAAGTATGGTCCCTCATTCACCATATCTCAGTGCACGTCATTTTATTTGTAAATCATCTTGAGATGCAGTCATATCCAGGCGCTTTATACATCCACACTGTACTGTAACTGAAGCTTCCAGTCACAATAAAGCGACAGCACCCTGGGCACTCGTGCCAACCCGCACTTCCATCCCTTATCTACGCGCAAAACCAGCCCTGCTATTGCTTCCCTACTTGCGACACTCCATGCATGCCATCTCGTTGGCTACTCTCACTCAGGGCCAGGGTAGTGCTGGCCAAATAAACATTTGCTCTAAAATATACATTTTCCGAGAGATGTTCGCAGCATGCGCAGCGAAACGTCAGACATCTGACACACAAGCCGAAACCGCACTGGGGAGCTGGCACAGCAGCACGACCGCTCCTGCAGTACCCCTAGAGAAGAGTTAGAGGTACATCATCACTTTATTATACGGCTCACGCCAACTGTAATATACAACCAAACATTGCAATTAACGCATGTTCAATTGAGCAAATGGTTGCTGCCGTTGTAGGGCTTACGCTGGAATGTATTTACTCTAGAATATTGTGGAGTATTGTTCGTTTTTGAATAGTTTGCAAAAAAAAATTGAAATGCCACTGGCACAAATGCTTTCCTTAGTTGCTGTAATCCGGGTCATGGGATGAACAATCCGCTCACAACACACTAACACCCTTCTAATCTGCAGGTGACCGTGCCAACAGAAGGCGAGCCAGTCACGAGGTACTCGAGATGTGTATTTGCCAAACTGACGTTTTCCCCCCATCACTTTGGGTTGCCACGTCCCTCTCATTTGTTTAACCCTCTAGGTGACCTGAGGATGTAAATAACACAGTATTTTTTTGTTAACATGGGTAAGCCGAATTCACATCTTGATGGGTGATGGGTGAATAACAAGGTACTTACCTGGTCGTAAAGGTCTACCCCTACAATATATACATTGTCAACTATGTTTATTATACATTTATAAAGGTATAGCATATACTGTACATTGCATTAAATCATTAATCGCTTTATTGACACATAGAAAATGTGTTTGACCAAATTAGCAGGAATGTGTTGCATCTCAAATCGCTGAAGCTAAGCAGATTTGAGCCTGGCTAGTACTTGGATGGGTGAACACCATGCCCAGCAGGATGTTCTAGGCTGTGGAGCTATGTGGTTGGCAATGCAGTAATATCCATTATTGTACTGCACTTCAATGCATCTGTCTGTGCTCCCCACCTTCACCAACCTGCACTGACCTGCGCGATGAAGTATGGTCAAATAACCACCATGACCGGCATGGTCTGCGGGAGGTCATCATCCAGCAGTGGACTGACAAAAGGAGCTGTACATGTAGCAAGGCTATTTCACCCCAGACTGTCTGCCGCTGCTGATGTTCAATAATGCAAAGCAAACAGGCAGCTGAAACTACACTGCACAAAAAGGTCGGGCTGAACTTATTGAACTCGGCAGCTGTAGAAAGAGCTTTTGTTTGAATGTTTTCTACCATTTCCATTCAAGATTAATGATTGATTTACATTGAAGACTTTTGAGTCAATCCACTGCTGAGCGGAGGCCTCCGTGCACCGTCACGATCACAGGGGTTGTTTGACCATACTTCATCTGTGAGCCTGGGTCCAGTTTAGATATCACGAGGCAGTGGTGTGAGCTGTGGCTGGATATTGCAATATAAATGTAAACTTGTTTAAAACGCCATCGCCGGAACATTACTTTAAATGTATGAACAGTTGATCATTATTACTATAACAACCCAGAAATCTGTCCCGCGTGTGACGTCACACCACATGCCGCACCCCCCCCCAGCGGAAAGATTTTTTTTTCACAAAGTCGCTTCTTTACAGAAAGTGACGGTCAAAATGTATCTACGCAGCACAGTGCTACATCCGTACGTAACGTCACTGCAAAAGAGCCCCCCCCCCCCACCCCCGTCATGACTAGAATAAGAATAAAAAAAAATTCGCTTAAAATTTGACATTTCTTTATTTAAAGTTATTCAAATAAATAATTCAACGCGACACTTTATTTACAGAAAGTGACGGTAAAAAATAAATATACGCAGCAGTGCTACATCCCCCCCCCCTCATTAATAATCATGAGCGGGTGGATTTTTACACTCCCATAGGTCGAGCAGATTTTTTTTTACGCAAATTCGCTTTAAATTTGACGTTTATTTATTTAAAGTTAATCAAATAACTAATTCTACGCTGCAACAAAGTGTATTTGGTGTCTTTATTTATTTCTGCAGCACTTGCAACAAAAGGTAAGTCTTCCCATCGACAGTTGCACGTGGCCCTGTCTAGATCTAAAAATCCTCAGCGGATCAAAATGTTCATCAAGGATAGTCAACTGCATGGAAAACCTTTTGAACAGTGATAAGAGATTCACACAAAATATCGTATACTGAAAAATCTTCCAAAGGCCTTAAGTTCATTTTAAAAGTTATGAAAATTTTATTTACGTGCAACAATTACTCAAAAAAATTGCAATCACACAAGAAAACGCAAATGTACATGTTTAATATTACAGCTTCTGTCCTAGGACGGGCAAAAGGCTAGTATTTTATAAGATCTGTACGCTGAAAATCTGCATGTAGGAAGGGTGAGGAGGTCTAGCCGCTTGCCATTCAAGAAAGCCAGACTCCGGTAAGTGTAAGCTCATTGTAGAATACTCCATCGAGACTTGTGCTCCTTGAAGAGGTACATTATAAAATATGAAGATGCCATTTAAAACTGAGACGATATTAATACCTTAATATTTTACTGGGAGGATAAACATTGGAGAGGCGTTGTAATTGATCATTCGTTTTGTTGTCATCCAAAAACGCAGATCACCAAATCACCCAGAGTGTGCCCGAGGCTGTCAGACCTCGGAAGCTCAGCAGGATTTTGAGCCTGGATCGTGCTGGGATGGGTAACCACCCATTGTGGGTAACAGAGAGCAGTGCTGCAACATCCACTGTTGTTCTGTACCTTTGCCAACTTGCACTACCGAGCGTGGTGAAGTATGAACAAATAACCCCGACGGCCCGCACAAGGTGGGGAAAGCGGATCAAGCAGTGGACTGACGAAGAGGCTGTACACGTACACGCTATCCAAAACATCAAGGTCCAGCAGTTAACTCCCAGCCTGACGCAACGCGACACGAGTGTAACGAGCAGACTGGTAGATTGCGTCAGTCAAATTTCACATTCACAAGAGTAGACCTTACCAAGCAAAACGAGCAGGAACAGTAGTGTGGAAACGCCGGCTGTGCCATAGAAGAGGATGTTGATGTAGTAGCCAAGCGAGGCCACCTCCACGTTTGGAATCACCTGGGGTGGAACCAGGAAACCAATGGCCACCCCAAGCTGTGGAGAGAAGCCAGAGACAGATTTTACATTCAACCCAGAAAGCTACATCTACTCGGGGAACCCTACACAGTTCAGGAATATAAAAAGTTTAATGTGCAGCCCTGCATTTGCTTTTCATTTACATAACACAGTTAAATGAATTACTTATATTTAACTACTTAAGGAACTGTCTGTAGAATGTACTATAAGCCTCTGAATTTATCACTATTGACTGCAACTGTAAAATGCTAACTGGTTCAAGACGGAAATGTACTGTAAAGCTTACAAAACATAATCATAACAACCCCATGACAGCCTTTGTACTGTAAGAATGGCACAAATGCCAAATGGCCTTATATTAAGAGTCTCTATGGGTTCTCCACAATGATGTAACCTCATTTGTAGAAATTACTCAAAGGGTAGCTATGAATTTTCACTTGTTCAGCTGCAGAATATTCTAGATGGTCAAACAACATGAATATCCACGTGTGCAATGATTTTTCCTATCTTCTTTGGGTTTGCATGGAATATTGCGAAAGTGCAGGTGAAATGATGAAATGCTGACATAATATAGCATCACTTTTTCACTGCTTGTTCGTTGACGGATCAATCCCGAGAGGTAATTGAAGTGTTCTTATTCCCTACTCGAATTGTCATCACGAATGCGCTCCACACTCGTTCAGGGTTCATGTAAGAGGGTTTTTTTCATTCTTGAGTTTATTCTTGCGCATATAAGTTTCTCTCCCTCCCTTTCACCCTTTTTACAACGCAATGTTCGCATTATAGTTCACGCATTTCTAATTTACAATGGTAACCATGATATGAAATTAATATCCCATCACACAATGAGAGCTGATACAATTACATTTAAGGAAACCTAATAACCATTACAGTTTAGTCTGGTTTTGTCGCAGTCTTAAAACACACACGTGTAGTGTGGGGCCATCCATTGAGTACGTACGCATGGAGGGGGGAGGGGGGTTAACCAAAATGCGCTCGCTTGCGTATGGGGGGGGGGTCTACTGACAGTATGCGCATATGGATCGGGGGGGGGGGGTGAAGCCTCGATAATAACAATGCAGCCGGCGGTGGACTATCTGTTTGCTTAAACACGTTAATATTATTAATCCTTTATCGTTTCTGCGTGGATTAAATACCGGCCGTTCTATAGGATTCGTGGGGGGGGGGGGGGGGGTGCGTCAGGCGAACCTGCACAGGTGGGGGGGGGGGGGTAAAAGTCCGCGTGCCTACAGGGAGAGGGGGGGGGGTCAAGCCAGAGCATTGGCAGGCCATGATACGCAATTGTGAGTGTTGCAGATTCAGTATGCAATCATGTAGGAGGATATGGTGGCTGTAAATTGATTAGCGAGGCTCAAAATATGGCCCTGGCAAAATGTCTAATAAAAAATGGGCCAGGAATTTTTTTTTTTTTATCAAAGGAGCAACTGGCAGATTTTGCAGGTAACTGGGATGGAATACGCCTCCACGTGAATCACCAGGAGCCATGAGCAAATCAAATTTTGGATAAAGGCTTCCCCGAGCCGTCGCCATCTCTCGCAAGTCTCTCTTGCAAGTCTCAGGTCGGGGCTTAATTTCAGGCGGAACTGTCCAGTTCCTGAAAATATCTCCCTGCTCCACAGCCAGACGCTAGGGGACAGGGTCCAGCTGTTTGAGAATTTAATCCCGTTTAATTGGCATCTTAAAATCTCCAAAACCGTTGGAGGTGGCCCAATTTATGGCATCGAATTCAGGATATGGCTAGTGGCAGAGAGATATTATATTACAAGCGTGAATTTGGTGGCCGAGAGCACGCCGATATGGTCAGATTACGGCACACGCAGCGCACAGACCCGCACAGCACCATGCACAGCACCTGGTTGCCAAAGACGGCTACGGCACAGGCGGTGGAGACCTCCCTGGGGCCGAACCACACGGAGGCGATGCGTGAGGGCATGCCCAGGATGAAGACCTGGCCCACGGAGCACACGGCCTGCGCCAGCATCGTGATCCCGAAGCCCGCGTGGTCCGGCCTCACGCTGGCCAGCTTCAGCCAGGCCCCGACGCAGTTGAGGGCCGAGCCGACCACGGCGATGAGGCGAAGGCCCTTGAGGTCCAGCATCCACGTCACGGGGAAGATGAGCGGCACGTACAGCAGCATGTAGATCATCGACAGCCAGTCCACAGACATCAGGCTCACGTCGTAGTAGCGCGCGAAGATGTTGCTCACGATGCTGTACTCGATCCACTGGAAGGCGTTGGCCAGCGAGTAGGTGCTGAAGACGAACAGCACCAGCCATCGGCGAGAGGACAAGCCGGTGGCAGGCGGAGCCTCGGGGGTCGTGGTCGGGGTCGGTGATGGAGACGGGGCCATGAGGGGGCCGCGCTCCGGGCCTTTAGAAGTCCCCCGAGCCCCGGTCACCTCCTCCTCCTCCTCCAGCACCTCGTCCTCGGCATTGCCTGGCACGGACAAGTATGGACGCTTACCGAATGGACTGGCGGTCTGATGGTGGTGGTCTCCTGTGTAAGCGCTGCCAGATTTTGACATCGTCCACGCGTCCGCGGACGGGGCAGTTTCAATGAATGAATGGATCGACTGACTCGCTGACACGCCGCTGACACGCCGGGCTCGTCGTTCACCAAAGTAACGAATGTAATCAACGTCGTGTTCCCATTCACTCATTCATTCATTACAATCCAATGGTTTGTTCAATCGGCGAAGCGAGCGTCCGTTCGACACCGCCGCCCGCTGTTGAGTGCGCAGAGCGAGTTGCGGAGATCGCGGGTCAACCAAAAATGTGACGCCTCCCCTCCACCCTCAGCACACAGCAGCTGGTGACGCGGTGACAGCGCGACACGAGCACAGCCGCGCCATCTTAGGAGGGGAGTAACGCAGAGGAGGGCGGCCTCTCGACTTCCACGGGCGACATTGACCTGCGGCGCCACCCAGCGGGCGATCGTTGTCGTGCGATGTCCTTGCGTAACATGGCGGTCTGTTGTTTCGTCTTAACGAGTGGGACCTCGAGACGTTTCGATGTATATCGAGTGTACGGTTCTGTGGAGTTCACGTGCGGCACGCTGCCATGCTGCTCGTGTACGACTGTAATTTTTTTGTAATAAATGAAATAAAGCTGAGATATCTATGCGTGTAGTTTACACTGCAGGAATGGATCGATGTACAAGGTGGTCCATATGTCTTGTGACCTTCCAATTAATGGACCCCGAGAAAATTTTTCCATTGAATCATTATTTCTGATGTAAATAAACCTCACGTAACGAATGCAAGGTTTTAGATGATTAAATTGGGCTCACAAGACGTCTGGACCATGCTGTACAGGACTGGCAGCAGCATGGGGGCGGAAGCCTTCATCCAGCAGTGGATCGACCACGGCTGATGATGTTGCCTATTCCGAGTATCGTAACGCAATACTGTATTCTAACATAAATTAATATACGAATGGCGAAATAAATTGCCTGTTTACATATTTTGGTCACCGATTATCGGTTCGATTAGTAAAATCGAATAACTAAAACGGTGTCATCTCAGTAACCCGCGATTCGTGTTCACCATACTTCACCACACTGGTCAGTGGTGGGGGGCAGGGTGGGGTGGTGGGGGGCACGGTGGGGGGGGGGGCACGGTGGGGTGGTGGGGGGCACGGTGGGGTGGTGGGGGGCACTGTGGGGTGGTGGGGGGGGGCAGGGTGGGGTGGTGGGGGGCACGGTGGGGTGGTGGGGGGCACTGTGGGGTGGTGGGGGGCACGGTGGGGGGGGGCAGGGTGGGGTGGTGGGGGGCACGGTGGGGTGGTGGGGGGCACTGTGGGGTGGTGGGGGGCACGGTGGGGGGGGGCAGGGTGCAGTGGTGGGGGGCACGGTGGGGTGGTGGGGGGCACTGTGGGGTGGTGGGGGGCACGGTGGGGGAGGGCACGGTGGGGGGGGGCAGGGTGGGGTGGTGGGGGGCACGGTGGGGTGGTGGGGGGCACGGTGGGGGGGGGGGGCACTGTGGGGTGGTGGGGGGCACTGTGGGTGGGGGGCACGGTGGGGTGTGTTGTAGTGCCCCCTGTTGACAAAGTAGCAGATGAGGCCTCCACGACAATTAAAATCGCGCCGAGGTGGAATGGAAACGTGACTTGGTCCATAATACAGGGGGGGGTGAGATCGCGTAAATAAATATAAGTGTCGTTAAACCCGCCACCACCCGACACAGCCAATTAGTAAGGTTTGTCACGTAAACAGAACGTGCCAATTCGTTACTAGTACAGCACCACGCCGGTGTGTTGGAGAGGCAAGTCCACGCCATTTACAATCGGATTGTAAATGTTTACGTGACAAACATTACTAATTGGTTGTGTCGGGTGGTGGCGGGTTTAACGACACGTTTATATTTACGCGATCTCACCCAAAACACCTGTATTGTGGATATTCGTCGCGAAAGCCTCCTACGTGTTAAAGTGCCAATTGTCGGTGCAGTGTCACTGAGGTCCACCCACAAGCAACGTGGCCCAATGCCCCCTGTCCTCTGATGACCACGGCGATGATAATTCACAATGTAACACGATTTTTGTTCCTGTTATTTTCTAATTGCTTATGCCTCAAGTATAGAAAGTGGCTATTCCCCACAAACTTTGCTTTGGTGACCAGGACTTTATGTGAAGGAATGACACAAATGCACACGTTTGCTCATTGAAAATAGGTAAATTTCGAAATATCACTGTCCTGGTCACAAAAGCAAGGTTTGTGGGAAATAATAGGCATTTTCTGTACTTTTGAGGCATAAGCAATTAGGAAATAACTCTTACTACCCAGGAACATTTTTTTTGTTACACAGTGTTATTATCATTGCCGTGGCCAGCAGAGGGCATTGCAGTGAAAACACATTTTATTGTAGAGGACTTCCATGCTCCCGGCTGCTTTCACGAACCCCGCACAGACTTGTGTGGTGAAGTGTGCTCCAATAACCACTATGACCCACAGAGTGTGGCGAGGAGGCCCTCATTCGGCAGTGGATTGACAAAGGACCTTTGTGCATTGAACATAATTAGTACCGAGCAAAGATGACTAGGCTGGTGTTGCAATAAAAGTTACGCCCTGCCAGGCGCAATTAGTGGTCCGCCACCCACCAACGTGGAGTTGCACAAAGATGCTTTCTGGCACAGACATTGCCAGTAAGAGGCGAGTATTGGATATGTGGTCTGGTGAGAGCGTTGTGAGTGGGAAGCGTGAATGGGGAGTGCGTTTCAGGTGAGTTGTGGTGGGGGAAATCCATCAAACTGATCGAAATTCTGTTTTCCACAGGTGTCTCATGATTAAACTGCATCTGGTGAGTGGTGTGTCGGTGAATTTATCGTGTCAGGTGAGCGGTAGATGGTGTCTGGTGAGTGGTGTGTGGTGAGTTGTCTCGTGTGGTGAGTGGCATGAGGTATGGAGAGTGGCGAGCCGTGTCTGGTGTGTGGCGAAAAGATGCGACATGACCTGAGGTCGACCTACTTTGGCGTGCAACTTCACCACACACCGACTTTACATGAACACTGGAAACAAGTTTGCCTCCGTGCTTCGGGCATCGACCATACCCTGGCGAATTCGAGCGCAGAGAACCGTTCTGCCATGCCCGACTCATCCCATGCCCAACTGGACATCGTGCTGCAAATCATCACGGGAACTTTAATTGTTATTCTTGGTAGATCACACACATGTGAAACTCACAAATGTGGGCGTCGATGTGGCATAGAGAATGCCATACAGCCAACATGTGTCACTGGATGAGCCAGTCAATACGGAAAACAAAAATCAACAATTTTGTGGTTAAGATTAACTCGCTTAGGACAACAATTGGAATGCATCAAATGCTCTTTGGTTTTGTATTATGCAATCCGCATAGACTTGAAGGTAGATTGCTGGAGAAAATGTACAATTTTGAGGGAAATAGGGATTCTGTATTCTGGAGGTAGAATGTCATGGGTTGATGTAACCTGGTGTGTGGGAGAGCGAAACAACTACATGGACATTTTAAAGCTGAGATGCGCCTTATCTCTATACTCTGCATAGAGGATATACAGTAGTATATGTCAATGCTTGCAGTGGTTGCATGTTGTATTATTTTGTAAGCATTTTTTATCGTCTTTCAAGCACCCAGAATACAGTGGAGAATATCGAAAGGAGGGAGGAACAACATTCAACAACATCCCAGGCGGAATGCGCCACCACCCCCTAAAGTAGGAAATGAACGAGGGCATCGGTCTCGCCGTCCTACCGTGGTCGGGGTGATGATCAATGGGAGCAGTGTGTTTAAGGGGAGGGAGGAAAATGCGAAATAACATAAAGGCGATGTCCCAAGTGTGTCAGTATTATTATCTCCCAGGAGCAACGGTTGCCATGTGTTACTGAGGGTGGCGTCGTGTCCAGAGTCCATCCCATCTCTCTCGCCCCCATTTCACCGGCTATTCGTGCTGGGTTCTGCGATAACGGGGACCATATGGCATCGTATTCCCTCTCCCAGGTACACACCAAGGCCTGCTGAAAGATCTATAAACACCTTTTTCATGCGGTGAAGGTCATACGTTTTGCCAACGGCACGAACGATAATTCATTTCACGATTGCACGTGTTTTAAGATTGTATCGCCAACTCTCAGTTGCTTCCTCATCTCTTGGCATGTGGTTCAACCGGGACATTTCTCACGCTTTGATGCTTTAAACAACCCCACAGAGCTTGCACTGAAAATTCTATGGATGGAAAACATCTGTGAACGGAGGGCAAGTAAATACAGTACGGTATTGAAAAGTGGGAGTACATGAGATTTGTCGCTAAGTTTGATTATATCACTTTCGTATATAACCGAGCTTATAATCGCTGAAACCCATACATACATTAAAAACAAATGTTCAAGCAGGCAGAGGAAACAAGTGTATTAAATATTGACTTAAAGCTTTCGTGACTGCAGGAATTCATATTGTTTGGGTCTTTCGGTAAAGTCACGTAGAAGGTTCAAAGAAACGAAGTGTATTAAGTTGCATATTTGACAGTGTTCTTGCATAAGGTATGTACCACAAGTGCGATACAGTGTATGTGGAAATGAACCGACTTATGTCCCCAGCAGATGCAGGAAAAGAAAATTGAGCTAATTATATTTGTTCCTTCTTCTCTACAGTGCATTCAATAAAATAAGTACCGTAATTCAAAGGTCAGCTCGTTTGCAATGGGTTTCACATCTTTTATGTGTTTTTTTAAATACTACTTACGAGCGAGTTGTACTACAATGTACGAAAATCCACCATCAAAACCACGAAGGAAAATGTTCTTAATTTCATACCGAAGCTTTCATGACCACACCAACCGCTTGCACCTCGTGCTTAAAGTACAACTCTGTTACAATACGATCTTAACCCTTCAGGTGCACACATGTTCTTCTAAATGTTAAGACACTTGTGCTGAAATGCAAAATGTGATGTGTTTTTCAAGAAACTGAGGAACCCAGCCATCGTTACTTAAGTGTATTATTCATCAATATAAATGCACTCTCTTTGGTATTTGTTCTTTTGAACCCACTTATAGCCTCCACAACGACACCAATTACTATTTTGAGTTCTGTATTTTATAATTTATCATCGAACTGTGAACCATATCTTGAAGGGGTGGTCCTTGTCTGTAACATTTGGCAATTCACCAGCATTGAATGAAGCAAGCCTGACCCTAGTTTAGTAAAACAAAATCTCTGTGCCACCTCCACTTCCATCTCAGCTTTTTGCTGAATATGCCACGTTACAAATATTGGATTGATTTAAGTCCAGAGTTAGAGTTCTTGTTTTGAATCAAATGCTGGTGAAATGATGTTACTCCCAAAAGGAACGTGGCCACGCCAATGGCTTATGCAATGTGTGTGGAGAGATGGGATAGGAGATGTCCGCTGACCTACAGTATGGTGTTCTTGCAAAACCAGTTCACACACGGAAGTTCTTCTGAAAGAGTTTAAATCGATGGAAGCTGAGACTTTGCTAAAGGCAACTTTGCAATATTTCGCAAGACGTAGTCCACACGAGTTTTACTTAAAGTCCCGCCATAGAGCATTGGCTCAGGGCGATAAACAACAGATAAGCACCATCTCAATGCTTATGTGTGTAGGAATTCACTTTTTGACTTTAAGTAACATGTTTAAGGTACAGCCCTTGCAACAACAGCTCGCTCGCCCCTCTGCTGGTGAAGGGGCTTCCACAAGAGCGATCTCCAACACCACGGGCTGGTTTAAGATTACAATTCCAGCCTGCGTAATCATTATCAACCACAGCAGCAGCATTATCATCACCTGTCGTATATGCTTGTAAATAAACCCGAACAACCAGCAATTAACATTGGACGCGTAATTACACGCTAATATTGACAGACATGTTCTTCACCTGAGGACGGCTGCTTGCGTTGTGGCCGAAACGTCGTGAGAATTGTTTTATTATGTTTTATTTTTATTATTTTATTACTTCCCTTCTACGTGACTTTACCGAAAGAACCAAGAAGATGAATCCCTGCAGTCACGAAAGCTTTAAATCGATATGTTTTATTATTTTATTAGTTCCCTTCTACGTGACTTTACCGAAAGAACCGAGAAGACATTCACGCAAAGTTAAATTTTTTGCTCGAATGGCGAGTGAACTGACCCGGGCTAAATATAGTCTTGGGCTAGAGTCTGGCTATTTTTAGTTGCACAAGTTTCCTGCAACCATTGGTCGCGTCGGATGGTGGAGAGGGCAAAGAAGTGGGCTGACCCCATCCCCTCCTCCACTCTGGCGCTTGAGGCGTGGGTCTAGCAAGCCATTGTACACCACCGCCAGCGAGTCGCGCGTGTCGCTTGGAACGCCTCTCTCTCCGTCTCTCCAGTTGCTAGCAACACAACGACGCCTCTCACACTCCCTTACACACACACACATCATCACACACACACTCCCTTACACACACACATCATCACACTCTTACACACTCTCCTACACACACACATCATCACACGCACTCTTACACACGCACACTCTCCTACACACTCCCTTACACACACACACATCATCACACTCCCTTACACACACACTATCACACACACTATTACACACACACACTATCACACACACTTACACACACTATCACTCACTATTACACACACGCACGTGTGCTCCCACAAAGGCGAGTAGGGAGTGGGGATAGTTGAAGACGACTCCCACCGCCCTCGAGACGAAGCCTCATCGCCGCCAAGGCAATGGACGAGGCAGCGAAGGAGGGGCAGGTGCACATCCTGCAGCACAAGTTCGCCAAGGTGAGAGGGAGGGGAGGAGGCGAGGGCAGAGGGGATGCGGCACGCGTGGAGGACGAGGAGGAACAAGCAATGGCTTTGCTCCCTCCTGGTGCCGCCACCACCACCGACTGCACCACCACCACCACTGCACCACCACCACCACCACTGCACCACCACCACCACCACTGCACCACCACCACCACCACTGCACCACCACCACCACCACTGCACCACCACCACCACCACTGCACCACCACCACCACTGCACCACCACTGCACCACCACCACCACCACTGCTGCTGTTGTTGTTGGTTGTTGGCACGCGACGAGGATGAGGCTTGCAGGTTTCCGCTGATTACCAGTCGAGAGTTGTTCCAAACGTTGCAGTGTATGATGTGCACAGGCCTCTCTTCTACAAATGTTGTCAATGTGCATGGCTCTAGATAGACAAAGATCCCTCCCCCCCCGTGTAGCCTTGACAGACTGCTGGGGCTGTTAGCGAGTAGCAGCAGCACCTGTGAAGGCTACCGGCACGGTGGCACACGAGGGGGTGGGTGGCCAGCACCACGCCCGGCCGCCTTTGTCTCCCCAGCGGAGATGTTTGCGCACTGCACCAGGTAACTCACTTGAGGCTGAGTCGACCTAGGGGAGGCCCAGGCACCGGTTTAGATAATCGTCACGGGTGTTGGGTCACTGCACGACCACTCTGCACACACTGCGTGATCCATGTATAGATACCCTAGCAACATAACAATAGAGCACTTTGTAGGTGAAAGCCTTTCTCCAGTGTACGCCACCCATCTCAATGCACCCACTGTGCTGTACTACTACTACACCTTTAGCACGCTCACCTGTAAGACATTGAGTCAGTGCTTTCACAATGGTAAATCTTATGGAGAAATAAATAAAGGGTAAAAGTTTTGGAAATCAGTGGGGTATCTGTAAACGGATCACTCTCCATGTGTACGTGATCAACAATGATGTATATCTGGGAAGCTAAGCAAGCTCTCGTCTGGACATTGCGTCTATGCGCGACCACCATGCACACATAGCAGGGGGCGACGTTGTGGGGCAGCAGTGGGCAGGGCAGCAACATCCAGAGTTGTACGGTAGTCTGCGTCCACGTCTACGCTCCCCAGCCTAAACAACCCGCACTGGCCACCAGCCTGGTGAAGTATGGTCAAGTAAAACCCCCACGGCTTGCAACAGCGTGGGGGGGGGGGGGCTCGTACAGCAGTGGAATGACCATGTCCGAAGATCACGTACATCTGTCAATCAGAATTCGCTGTGTTGAGCCAATTGTCACTAATCTCCTGTTGGGCGAGGGCTTCCATGACACCGTGTCGGTTATGGGGGTTGTGTGGGCCATACTTCACCACTACATGTGTGAAGTTGAGAGGGGCAGGGAGCAGGACAGGTTGATGGATGATGTTAGCCGTGGGCAGGATGCGAACTCGGGTGTTGATGAGTGTACATGGCGATGCTGCGCCACGCCGGCATCCCGTGTTTAAAGTGCCACTGTTGAAATTCAATACGGGGAGGTTGGTGTGACTTGGTAGCAATGTGTCAATGTTTGCGGTGGCGACATGGGACTTCCAAATTTCCTTTTGTTATGACACAACAGCCAGGATAATATGCAGTGCCCGGTCACCAGCGTGAATAAAACATTTCGTTGTGTTTGTAAACGTGAACAGTTTTAATGTACAACAACAGTATTTGTGTTTTGAAAATCGATTGCTATGGTCTGATGTCGTTGCTTAAGCTCGCGATACATTTACCGAATGTATGTTTATTATTCGTGTGACCCGTGCAACCACGAGAGGCTCTCTACCATTCTCGTTAGAGATAATAACAACAATAATCATAATAAAAGCTGCTTCATTGCAGCCGTGGCAATTCATCTCATTGTTGGAGGTGGCACTGATGGCGTGAATTGTCCCCAGGGCACATGCCAGGGATCACTCTTTGGTCCTTTCGGTGAAGTCACGGAGAAAGGGAAAATAATAAATTAAATAATGGCAGACGACGTTTCGATTGCAACACAAGCAATCATCATCAGGTACAAATGAAAGAGAAAACAAAACCTAGTAAACTTAGAAATATAATGTAATACAACACAGAGAGTCGGCTAACATAACAGTCAACATCCTACCTGGTTGATTACGTTCTTCCAAAGATTGCAAAATTTAAGAGAGAGATTAAACACAGAACAGGAGACACATAGACAGACACGTAAGCAGAGAGAGACACACAGAGACACACAGAGAGAGAGACACACAGAGAGACACACAGAGAGAGACACACAGAGAGAGACACACAGAGAGAGACACACAGAGAGAGACACACAGAGACACACAGAGAGAGACACACAGAGACACACAGAGAGACACACAGAGACACAGAGAGAGACACACAGAGAGAGACACACAGAGACACACAGAGAGACACACAGAGACACACAGAGAGAGACACACAGAGACACACAGAGAGAGACACACAGAGAGAGACACACACAGAGACACACAGAGAGAGACACACAGAGACACAGAGAGAGACACACAGAGACACACAGAGAGAGACACACAGAGACACACAGAGAGAGACACACAGAGACACACAGAGAGAGACACGACGCCTCTGTGTCGTGGCGTTGTTTATTCACGACCACCGTCTCTTGTGAATTTCACAAAGTGCATTGCGGCTCTTGAAATATGTGTTTGACTGAATTCGATAATTAAAAAAATGTCTCTTCTTGTTGTTTTGGTTGAAGACCGCTGGCCCAGACGGAACCTTTTTGTAAAGATGCGAAATGTTTGGGAACCCTGAATATTGGTGTATTCAGGGAAATCTTGTACGCGATAATGTGGGGTACGAATAATGAGGATCTCAGCTGGGCAATCCGTGGATAATGGGGGGACAAGGTTATAGGGTCACGGATAGTTGGAGTTCTATAATGTCTTGAGGACAAGATCGAAGCTCGAAAAGTGAATTTGCTTGTCGCAAAAGTTGGAATAGTTCAGAATGGGGCCTCATAGGCGACAAATTTGCTGCAGAATGTATGCAGTAGATTTAAATGTCACTTCAAGTGTTCTAATAACATAACATTTATTGATAGAACGCCTTCCATACCACAACGTACAAGACATTTCACGCAAATTAAGAAAAATATATAAAAAACATTTAAAAACACTCGTAAAATAATAAGAATACTTAAATGGATAAAATAGCAAACAACCATAAGCTATGTCAAGCGCCATGAGTGAAGACGCTCTGTCAATATAAATAAGATAACATCTAAAATCACAAGGGTAATTGATGTAAATAGTTCTTGAGCTTTGATGTAAAAGTCGTCACAGTGGGCGACCCTCTGACGCGATAGGGAGACAATCACTTTGAGCGATAACTCTTAACGAGTAACATGGTGAGAGTTGAAGTCGTGTATGAGAGTTGTGTATGAGTGTTGTGTATGAGTGTTGTGTATGAGTGTTGTGTATGAGAGTTGTGTATGAGTGTTGTGTATGAGAGTTGTGTATGAGAGTTGTGTATGAGAGTTGTGTATGAGTGTTGTGTATGAGAGTTGTGTATGAGTGTTGTGTATGAGTGTTGTGTATGAGTGTTGTGTATGAGTGTTGTGTATGAGTGTTGTGTATGAGTGTTGTGTATGAGTGTTGTGTATGAGTGTTGTGTATGAGTGTTGTGTATGAGTGTTGTGTATGAGTGTTGTGTATGAGTGTTGTGTATGAGAGTTGTGTATGAGTGTTGTGTATGAGTGTTGTGTATGAGTGTTGTGTATGAGTGTTGTGTATGAGTGTTGTGTATGAGTGTTGTGTATGAGTGTTGTGTATGAGTGTTGTGTATGAGTGTTGTGTATGAGAGTTGTGTATGAGTGTTGTGTATGAGTGTTGTGTATGAGTGTTGTGTATGAGTGTTGTGTATGAGTGTTGTGTATGAGTGTTGTGTATGAGTGTTGTGTATGAGTGTTGTGTATGAGTGTTGTGTATGAGAGTTGTGTATGAGTGTTGTGTATGAGTGTTGTGTATGAGTGTTGTGTATGAGTGTTGTGTATGAGTGTGTATGAGTTGTGTATGAGTGTTGTGTATGAGTGTTGTGTATGAGTGTTGTGTATGAGTGTTGTGTATGAGTGTTGTGTATGAGTGTTGTGTATGAGTGTTGTGTATGAGTGTTGTGTATGAGTGTTGTGTATGAGTGTTGTGTATGAGTGTTGTGTATGAGTGTTGTGTATGAGTGTTGTGTATGAGTGTTGTGTATGAGTGTTGTGTATGAGTGTTGTGTATGAGTGTTGTGTATGAGTGTTGTGTATGAGAGTTGTGTATGAGTGTTGTGTATGAGTGTTGTGTATGAGAGTTGTGTATGAGAGTTGTGTATGAGAGTTGTGTATGAGTGTTGTGTATGAGTGTTGTGTATGAGTGTTGTGTATGAGTGTTGTGTATGAGAGTTGTGTATGAGTGTTGTGTATGAGAGTTGTGTATGAGTGTTGTGTATGAGTGTTGTGTATGAGTGTTGTGTATGAGTGTTGTGTATGAGTGTTGTGTATGAGTGTTGTGTATGAGTGTTGTGTATGAGTGTTGTGTATGAGTGTTGTGTATGAGTGTTGTGTATGAGTGTTGTGTATGAGTGTTGTGTATGAGTGTTGTGTATGAGAGTTGTGTATGAGAGTTGTGTATGAGTGTTGTGTATGAGTGTTGTGTATGAGTGTTGTGTATGAGTGTTGTGTATGAGTGTTGTGTATGAGTGTTGTGTATGAGTGTTGTGTATGAGTGTTGTGTATGAGTGTTGTGTATGAGTGTTGTGTATGAGTGTTGTGTATGAGTGTTGTGTATGAGTGTTGTGTATGAGTGTTGTGTATGAGTGTTGTGTATGAGTGTTGTGTATGAGTGTTGTGTATGAGTGTTGAACTTCCTTTCGCACCGTACGTAGCTAACTGTGTTTATCGAAGGTGCGTGTGAAGGACATCAAACTAAACACAAAGCAGTAATAAAGAAATGCTTTAAACGTTAGCA